ATGTTAAGCTTTTTTTTTTTTCTAGTGTTCACTGTAGGCTAGTTCTGGCTGCATAGGGTAAAATGACTAGAATTGTGGTTCAAGACTTACAGATCTGTAGCTGAGCAGGGAAGGAGCGGCAGCTTATTGCTCTCAAATATTGATGTATCTTGGTACTATAAATGCCAAGAAATAGGCCAAAGACTGCTAAAACACTGAAATATTAGTAAATGTAATAGCTCTTTCTACTAAAACACCCTGAGCAGTTCGGACTGCTGCTATTAAGATGCCAATACCAGTAGTAAAAGCTTGCAATGGGTTTTATGACAGGAGTACTCCATGCATTTGCCCAGTGGTTCAAGCTGGAACAGCCTTTTCATGCATTTGGATCCACTGAAAGTAGCCCTGTACAACACACCGAAATGCTTGGAATAATGCTTAATTTTCTGTCATTTGCTAATTTAATTGAAATAATTCCAAATGCTTGGAATGTTGCTTAATTTTTTGCCATTTGCTAATTTAATTGAAATTATTAAGTATTTTGTTCTGCTTGTGAAGAGTGCAGTGTTTGCTGCTTGATATACAAAAAAAGCTTTTTGTATTTCAAGGAAAATAAACTTGAGGTGGCAAGTTTCACCTAGTGGTGTCAGGAGTGGAGTGTATGGCTATGGCTGCCTAATGTAGGGCTGTGATTTTTCTCCTGTCTGTTACTGACTTTACTTCCCTCAAGTATCCTTGGACTTTTCCTTTATTTCTTCTTTTTTGTGTGTGTTTCCTCCAGTGAATTCCATGTTCTTAAGTATAAGCTATAGTCAGCAGCCGGAGCCTGAATGGAGGGGCAATCTCTAAAACAGTAAGAAAGGTTTTTGCTGGTTGGGTTTGTTTGTTTGTTTTGATGGGGTTTTGTTGCTTTTTTGCATTTGTTTGTTGTTTTTTAAACAATGGCTTATTACAAATTGGTATTGATGTATGTGTGAGCAGACAGCTCATGAAGGCCCTGTTATAGCCAAAACAAAGAGCACAGGAAGATTTGTAGTGATTGCACATTGCAGATTAACCCAGATGCCACAACAGTGATATGAAAGGTACATGGGCATGGGATTTGTTGTACCAGATCTGATGACAGGTCCAGTTGATTTATTTATTTCTGCATGTGACAAGTTCCTTATGCCTCCTAAGAAGGTGAAAATATCCCCTCATAATGCACTCATTCCCTTTGTAGGGTGCCGTATGGGAGAAGGGTGTTTGTGTTCTACATCTGTGGCTTCTGATCTTTTTCTTACTGTTATGAGAGAGTTGCTGCCTGCACCCTGTTCCTTTTGCTTTCTATTTTGTCCCTGTCTCGTGCACCCCCAAGTACTAGCATTGTGTGCTTTTCCCCTACAGCCAGTCACATTTCTCCTTACAGGTATTGGTTCTGTTTCCCTACCTGGCCCAAAGGGGGCCAACTCTTCTTTCTCCTTGCAACATAAAGAACGTGAACTAACAAACTAGGTTGATGACTGAAATATCTTTAGTGCTTGGGATTTTTTTTCTTATAAAGGCTATGTTACAAATGAATTTGAGTTAATATTTTCAGAGCTAGCCTCACAGTTTTTCAAGAGCAGAAGAGCCAAGGGCCTGAGAGTCTGGGCTAGCAGAACTTGTACTGTACATTGTCCCATGTTGGCCAATGTTAGTTGTCATGAAAGCACTACACCTGATGTAAAGCTACTATCTAATACCAATATACAGGGACAGTCTCCTGGATCAAAAAAGTCTCAGACTTGTGCATTTGAAAATGGTACATCATAATGTTTCTCATCACTAAGCTGCAAGACAAAAGAATGATGGCAATACTTACTGTGTCATTAATGTGTGTCAAAGGAAGACTGGGTCTTAGAGGTACAGTTTTCTCAATAGAAGTATACAGATAAGGTAAGAACTTGTACAGGATCCCTAAGAGTAAGGGGAACTATAATGTAGATTTGCAAAGTTAAGTCTCTGTAATACAGTGGCGTGATTTTAAGTATGGAGACTGACACGAGCAGACTTCTGTCTACCTAAGTTCTGAGCATTTATAGATAGAGCATCTTCCACCTACCTGTCATGCATTTCTGTTTGCATGCCTTGCATCCCACAAATCAACTCTGCATAAACTGTTTAGATACTTATTTTCAGATGGGCTACCTAAGTGTAGCACTGCAGAACAAAGAGATTGCACATGCCACCTCTGTGTGAGTTGAAACTTTATTCTTTTATTTTTCTTCTCTGTGAACCCAGAGATACCTGATTAGCAGAAGTAGTGATACCAAGAAAAAGTCAACTTGCAGTATTGACTCACCTTAATATGCTTTCGTTTTCCACTTTCAAATTAAATTGTATGCTTATGGAATACCTGCTATTCTGTAGAGCAAAGCCATTAAACATGAACTAGTAGCTGTAACAAAATGTGCATTGTTTCTAGCTAATAGAGTAGACATAGCTATACAGGTACCAGCAAGTAAATTAGATTCAAAAAGCATTGGAGATTAGAAGGAGGAGGAGAAGAAATTAGCAGAATATTTTTGGGTTACCCCACCCCACTTGCTTTACACTTTTCTCTGAAGTGTGTGTATCATGTACTTTTGAGGTCTGAAATGTGTGATATATTGATGACTATCTTGTTTACATACAATGGTGTTTGCATGTGGTGGTAGTTAATCACTGTATAATAGAAGGCCCCAAGGGAACACACTAGGATATCAATATTCTTGTTCCAACTAGTATTTCTACTAGCAGTAGCTAGAAATGCTTGTAAATGACCATGTTAAAAAATAACTTTCCTCCACAGAAAGGAACTATGCAGATGTTTACCCTCCCCACAAAATCACCAATCTGGCACAAAAAGTGGAATATGGGAGCTTGCTTTAATATGGCACTGACTATAAACCAAAATGGAATATGATCATCATTGAATAAGGTCCCCTGCAGGTAAAATGGCCTCTGAAAAGCATGTTCCCTAGCTTGGTTTGAAACCTACACTTGATTTTCATTTATTCTGAGAGGCCCTTTGAGAACAGACTGTAAATTCATGTACACACCTTTATTGATATTTGAAAGAGAAATAGTCAATCTTTTTGTTGTGAGATGATTTCTGGAGACAGTGAAGAAAGCAGTTGCTATGCTTTTAATTTCTGTAAGCTGACGCTTTAAGCCAAATTCCTCGATACGGTGTTTTATTGCATTAATTAAATGGCTTGTTGAAGATGCCACATTGTTGGATACCACTTCAGGTAACAACAAATAAATAATGAAGTGAAAGAGGGAAAGGAATGGCAATGGAGCAGGGGAGGCTTCTTGAAAAGGGGGGAGGAAGGAAACACTGTTCATGCACTGCTAGGAGAAAAGTGGGACTTTTACTTTGTAAGTCTGTGCCTGTCAACCATTTCCAACTGAGCTGAGGATTTTTCTGCTGTTTGACCAATATGAAGTTAAAACAGCAACAAATGGAATGAAAGAAGCTGGTTTTTCAGGTTCCCAGTGATAAAGAGAACAAACTGATGGCCTAAGCTGTAGACTGGGACTTCCATCATTCTACATTGTGCCAGTCAGACAGGGCTAAATGAAGACACCTCCTCTTTCCTGAGAGCATTAAAAAATTAGACATGGAATAGAAATATGCAGAAGTAGCAAGTGTACATCCTTTTTCTCTGCAACTCCCTGAAAGAATAGACTGACTGACTTTAATTTCTGCTTTACTTGAAGAGGGGATGTGCTCCAACTTGCTTCATTTGATCATGAGCCCTTAAACAGGGGACGCAGGTCTTAAACTACAGTTTCCTCAAAGTAATTGTGTTAGGCAATGATTTAAGTAGCTACCCTCTTAATTATTATAGGGTAGGGTAAAATTGATTTAGAAAGAATGCTTTTGCAGAACAGAACTATTTTTGCCTAGAGTGCAGGTGTTACCACTCCTGTACTGTGAAGGGACAAATGATCCTCAGGCACAATGGGAAGGAAGCCTAGCTTCAGTATCTTAACCTGAAGTGTGACCAAGAGAAATAAAGCAGAATGATTGCACTTAGCACTTTCAAATGCCAGTGGTCTTCAGCACAGTTTGAATAGCCAGGTTGCTCTCACAGGGACTATAGCTACCTCATTTAATACACAGACCAGCCAATACGTTTACCTTCTCCTGCTTCTGCCTTGCAGCTTTTGTAGTGTTACAACCTCAGCATTAGAGCAGCTGCCAATTCCTCATGTGTTTTGGCTCTTCTTCTTCAGTTTTTTGCTCTGAAACCTTTGTGGTGTTACAGACTAAAGTACTACAGCAAGGAGCAAAATTACCTTAGAGGGCAAGGGTTGGATCTGGAATTGAGTTTGAGCCAAGGTGGTTTCTGCAGTAGACCTCAGCACTAAGCACTGATGATAGCAAGGTACATCTATATAGGACCTTGTCCCAAGATTAGTCACATGTTAGTTTGTTTCTGTTCAGCAGTGGGGTAATACTGCCTTCTAGAAAGCAACCAGTTTTATTGGCATAATTGCAATCTGATGTTAAATCAATCTGAGCTCTTTTAAATATTATTTGACATGCTTATTTAGTATTATGCCACTTCTAAAGCTGAAAGAATGTGCTGCCTGTTAGTGGTCAGTTATAAAGAAAAACTACATTGAAGTAATTAATGCATTATGTAAGCAGCTTATACATATTAATATCAGGCTCTGGCCTGAAGTATGGAAATGCTAATCCATATCTTTAGTTTTGCCTTGTAAAATGATCCTCTGGGTATGTAGAGTCAGGCTCCAATTAAGAACTGACTTGTAACCTATGTATGATGCACTAGTTAATTTTGTATGGTAAGGCTGTGTATTTTTTTGAAAAAAGTAGTCATGTCCCCAGTTTCCTGTCTAAGCACGTGAAAGGAGAAAGGATGGTAAGTCTTCTTTCACCACTGCAGCTAGGAGCATATCTGAATTGAAACACATGAACTGACTATACCTTTCACTGCAGTGTTGCCAAAAGGCAAAGTTCAGCACTGTAACTTCTGAAGCAGAAATTATTTACACCCAGTTCGAAGAATATCTGATATTTGTTTTCCCAAATATGCTTTCCAGGGTTTCACAAGGCTGTTCATGTTCACAAGGAGTTTACTGGTCCTAGAGTCCTCCTGGCCTGCTATAAGATAGTCCGTACCTAGTTTAAAACAAAAACCAAAGGAAAAACTTATTTCAATAAATAGAAGAAAACAGAACTAAATGCAGATTTTCTCTATAAGGACCTGGTATGTAGCCTTTTAGCCAGACTTCCTAGATTATAAGCTTAAGATAACAGGTAGCAGGGCCTTAAAAAACGGTCTGTGAACAAAAAAGTGGGTAACCACACATGGAGAAAAGAAACAAGCACTACTAATAAAATCATGTAATTGCCTTAGTAGATGTACAAGCACTCTTTGTGTTGTATTAACTGTAGTAAGTAAAATTTCCTCACTGATCAGAATTTAGAGGAACAGAGATACACCCATGGCAAATTCTGTGTGAGGTTCTGCACACAGCTCTGCAGGGAGCTGGTGGCTGCTCCTTATGCCTTTGTCCTCTCCTGCCACTACTGCCCTCCTTGAAAGGTGTGTGCTGTGAAGCAACTGCTAATGCTTGTATAGAAAGTATAAAGGTGGGTGTAAAAGCCTCAAGAAGAGAGGAAAAAGTAAGGTTTCTACCATGAGCCAGGGCATACCATGATCTTGGGGCAGGGCTTCAGTCAAGCAATATGTTGAAATCTGCAGAACTGCAGTTATTTAACTTATATCAAGAGGCAATGACATAACATCTTCATCACTAGCATCTAAATTTCTGAGCTGTATGTCTTCAGCCCTATGTTTCTAAAGCAGTGGAAAGTAAAGCTAGAGAGGTACAAAGGAGAAAAATGTCCTGTGATATTTTTCTCCAGATATCTACTGTGGGATTAGATGTAGTCTCATCGTTATTTAAGTAGTATCTTTTATTCTGATTATGTCTGATTCAGGGTTCCCACAGTTTCACAAGGAGCACTGGTAAATACATAATTATGCATAACTATGCCACTGGAGTTTAAGTAAAGGAAAACACCTTATTCACTTGGACTACATTAAGACAAAAATTTGATGTGCAAATTCAAGAACTACCCCCAAAAAGAGCTCAGGGTCCATATTATGCTTCAATGCAAATTCAGATGCAGTCTTTCACTTGATACAGATCATGGAGGACAAAATTTGTTTCTGAGACGGTACAGGTCATTTTGCCGTAACAGGAAAAATTCATACAGAGTTTGATCGGGCACAGCCTTTCCTAAAACAACTGTCTCTTCTATGTGGCTAATTTCAGCTGAGAATTTGTCTTAAAGGTTAGATTAAACCTTATATTTTAAGTGAAGCATAAGGAATACCTTTCATTCAGTAGATCTGTTTTTAATCTATTCAGATGAAAAAACATGGGGTAATTTTTCTATCAGGTGCTGCTTTTAGAATGATGTCAAGTCACCACTTTCTGTGGTGTATGGTTGAATAATGAGACATGATCCCCAGCCTACACTACTGGTCACTCTAATGACACCCAATGCCTTTGTCTTACTGGGATTTGATCCCAGGACATGGGAACTTGTGAACTTCCAGTGATGTGAAAAAAAGCTGAGTAATCAAAATCTGTCAGAATTAGACACCTAGCATCTACTTAGGCACTTAGGGACATGGTTTAGTGGAGGACTTGGCAGTATGGGGTTTACTGTTTAACTCAATGATTTTAAAGGTCTTTTCCAACCTAAATGATTCTATGATTCTACTTGAAAAGATAGAGTCCAGACTTAAATTTGCAGGATTCCGAGATGTACTCAGAGATTAGCTGTTTTTCAAGTAAACTTATCTCTCTCTGGGGTCCACTAAGTTGTATTACAGGAAAGGCAGCAATAGGGAAGGTTGAATGGAGCAATGTATCTGCTCAGCCTCTGATAATATTACTCAGCACCAGTATGGAGCTTTGCAGTCTATAGTGTGATGTTTCTGCCTGCCGCAGAGCTGGAGAGAAAGTTGCTGCTTTCCACTACCCTACTTGTCCACTCCACTGCTGCAGGGAGATTCCCATAATTAAAAATGAACAAATATGGATCATTCTGATAGCATCTGGTTCGGGAGCAAACCTAGAGGCTTATCCTGAACTGGTTATAAAAAGAGGGGCTTTATCTACTTAAAAGAGAGTATTAAAGATTTTCCTGTCTTACTTGGTTTGAAATTAAATTAATTTGGTTTTATGCTCTCCACCCATAATTGGTTTCCAATATGCTGCATGTTGTCAGTGTTAGGCTTTGATGGAACAAACCATTGAATGCACTAGACTTTACAGTAGAAGAAAGAAGGAAGACTTACTTTTCATTATTTGAAACCATTACAAAGGCATAGAAGAAATTAGATTCCCTCCACTTTCCAAAATTTTCATAATAATTTCTAGTTTTTCCAAAAATAAGTAAGACATCATGTGAGAATAGAGAGTGAGGAAGAAAACTCTTTGGACATAAAAATACAGGGATTTTTCAGGGATTTTTTTTTTTTTCCTTACAAACATTCTTCTAGTCACAAATATTCTGGAAGATCAAATAAAGTCACTGGAAGTAAAACATTTCCAGGGGGGTTTGGGCTTTTTGGTAAAACTTTGATAAGAAATCGCTTTTTACAGCAGCTGTCTATTGACACCCTGTTTGGTGTGGATGTATCAAAGGACTCTGCCCTAGAAAGACTGATGGGAAGTGTTGAGTAGCCATAGCTAATATTCATAATGAATTGTCACCACTGCTTACAAGGGAAGGAAAATACCTGGTAAGCATTTTGTCCTTACCAGGATTGAGAATGGGACATGTACATCCCCTGTTGGTCCAGGATTCTGGGTAAATGCTTCTGTTGCTCCGAGCAATTTTCACTTTGCCTGATTTCAGGACCTTCTTCACTTTCACAACAACTTCGGCATGGGTCCCTTTGTCATGAGCTGATAGGATTCTTGCTTTTATCACTACCAGAAAACATATCAAGATAGAGACCAACAATGAATTCCTAAAGGAATTTTGTTTCATGCTGCTAGAAGAAGAATTTTAACACCTTGAAAGAAGACATGAAAAAAACACTGCGGTTGTACAAGAAAGTGTATTCCAATGCTTGTCCACTTCGGTCATGGTTCTTCTAAATAAATTTGGAGAAGGAAAAACTAGATTTTGGTTGAAGTAGTTAACTGATACTTTCACCATGTTATTTAGCAACTACTTTTTAATGGGCTGATGTCAAACACGTGGAAATCATAGGAAAGCTCTTCTATGTATATATAGGGTGGAAAAAACAGATCAGCAGCTAACAGTCTCATTATAAGTGCACTGATTCTAGGCTTTATATTTTGCAGTTTGAAAACTTGTGTTGAGCTTTAACACTGGCCTCTCAACAATTTTGTCCTGTGGGAAGGGACTATCTGCTCTACAGGAAGGAAATCAAGAAGTTTCCCATCAGACTGCAGGCATGTCACATGGCTAAAATTCCATGATTGCAGAACAAACCAGAAAAAGTATTTTTGTTTTGTGACCCAGCATCTGGTTTCTAAATTTCTGCTCCTTTAATTTAATAGGATCTGATAACTTATAGATCTGGATCTCATCTAGATCAGCCCCACAGGCAGGCTTTGTTGTATCATGACACAAGTGCATCAAACCTTTGGATCCCTGAGCTTTCCTTTCTTGCTTCATGTGATGGCATGAACCAGGTGTTCATAAATGACAGTATTAAATACATTCTTGGCAATAAAGCATGGCCCTTTGAACCTGCATAATGAGTGCAAAAAAAATGGCAGTTTAGATGCGAGGTTTTTAACATTTATTCTTGATGTAGAGGCCAACCATTCCACTGAGTTACAGTTCTAGCACTCCTTCTGCTCTATAGAGGGAAGCTAACTGGGTAGAAAGAGGACAGCACGGAGCCTTGCATGAAAAATGCTGTTCAGTTCTCATCAGAAGTTGGACAGGTCACTAGACAAAAAAGGCAGAAGAAATTCTACCTCTTATTTCATGACTTAGCTAGTCCAGTCATTTTTCATAGCTATCAGCTACTAACATGCATAGAGAGAACATTGTGAAATTATCATACCTTGAGGGCATGTTACCCACTTACCATAAGCATATTTCATTTGGCAGAAGTCAGTGACACTTCCAAGCACCTTTTCTTTGCACACACACTTTTCTAGCAGGGAACCACAGAACACAAAGGGTTGGAGAAGAGCCAGGACATGAGAGAGAAAAGAAAAGCAAATGATACTCAGTTATAAAGTTGTACCAACATAGCTCCCAAAATCTAGATGGACCTTAAGAGGAAGTTTGAGAGTGAGCTCAGTTATTTGCAAATCTGTTTCTTGTTAGATGATACAGTAATTGTTCTGAAACCTGATCAGTACTGTCAAGTAAAATGCAGCCTTCGTGGGGTCTACTGTACAGTTAATAGGTGGTACTAATAAAAAGGTTTGTAAGAATCAGATCCAGGTGTAAATCATGTAAGTAATAATACCCTTGTTCAATCCCATAAGCTACGAAATGCTGATCCTTGCCGGTGTTAAGGTAATATCCCTTTCAGAAAAGTCAAGATATGCAATAGGTGGCACTATTACCTCTGGGTCTTAGAAAACCATTGATGCTGGTAAGTCCTGACCTTCATGCATGGCAAGCAAAACTGAGAACTAATTAACTATTAAAGGCTCCACCTCATTCTATAAACCTACTTACTTTGTAACGTTAGCTGGATACAGTATACTTTAGTTTCTCTTCTGAGCTGTTGCGCCAGGAGGAATATCATACTCTTAAATTGCATTCTACCCTAGAGGTGGTGCATTTCAGTGATGTTTGACATGATCTTTTTATAAATAGCATTTGAAGTTCTGAACAGCAACTGAATGCTTAAGAAGGAGCTGTGTAAAATCATAAGCATTATGACTATAATTACAGCAACAAAAGGAGAGCATTTTTTCCACACAATCTTATTCATGTCTTACCAATTTCCAAAACCAAAGTTGGATAGTACAGTTGGTTTGGAAAATAACAATGTGTAATTATAGCCTATATCGTTCAGATTAGCAGATGTTGCCAGCAGATGGGGACAGGCAAGCTAGAGGTGAGTGGGGGGAATTTAAGTCAGGGTGGAGAGAAGAAAGAACTGGCTCTGAGTGAAGTTACTACATGTACCCAGACTCTGGGCTGTACCTGGGTGCCTCAGCGCAGAAAATCCCTGCTCATGGTCATTCCATTTCCACTCCTCTTCACTCTCGTTGGTTGGCGTTTGTGCAAGGTCAGGGATTCGTCCCCCAATGGGGATGTTAAAGAATGGCTCATTGTCATAGCTGGGGGGACATATAAAACAGAAGACTTGGTTAGGACACGAGGTGGGTGGGAAGGAGGTATTTGTAGCATGCGTCTGTATTCAGACTGATGAGCTTGCTTGCTTCAGGTTAGGAGTGCAAATAAGAGCAAGACTTCATGCCGTGTGGAGAGATCACAAGATCTAGGATTTTATTTAGACCTTACCACTGCTGACTTAGCATTTTTCAAAGTAACTATGTGTTGGGCCTTTTTTGCTTTTGTTTGTTTTTACTGAATTAAGTAAAAACACTTGTTGACATCACTAGGAACTGAGGACACCTGCAGGACCCATAAAACTGCAGTCACTCAGCAAATCATAGGATTTCTGCAGTGATTAATGCACATTTGGGGTACAGATGCCTACCCTCTAGAAATGAGAGGGAGACCTTTTAATTCTTTTTACCCTGGGCACAGATGACAGGCGAGCTCGCCAGACTCTTCCATCTATTTCCAAGGCAAACAGGTGTTACTTAAAGATGCTGTACATGTTTCCATGGTGTTGTGGAGTTGCCTGTTATTACTGCAAAAAGTCATCGTTTCAAGATTGCCTTGGATAATACAATGGACTCATAAGTGTACCAGCCACCAAATTGAATCTGAGAAACCTCTTACAATTTACAGCCACCTCTTCAAATGATTGTGCACCCTACAGCATCCTTCAATTACTGTCATTGCAGCAGTACTTCAGTTAATCTTTGTTTCATTTCACAGAATCCCATCTCAAAGTGAACCCAAAGGAGGGCTTCTTTACCCATTGAAACAGTTTCCAGTATGCTGGTCGCAGTCTCTGGCACAGTCACAAGGGCGACAGCCATTTTCTCCAAAGCCCCAGTAGCCCATGAGACATCTATCGCAGTTGGGGCCCGCCACACCTGGCTTGCAGTAGCAGAATCCCGTCTTGGGGTGGCATCGCCAGCTTCTGCTGAAAGTTGCGTTGGCTGAACCCATTGGCTGGCAGGCGCAAGCTATGGAGATACGGTAAGAGGTGACTGAGGTTATGTGCCCAGGGGTCATCTGATTAAGTGACATTTTCACAAGGCTGATAAACTTGTGCCCCCTTCCTTATGTTCAGCTCAGTACTTTTAAGTCAGAACTGGGAAACATTGCATTGTCAGCCTACAATTGCAATATTATTTTTGTTTCTTTTTAACTCATTAAGCTCACCAAAACAAGTACAACTGGTACCCATTTAAGTGTGAAAGTCAGTTCTATCCCTACTACACAAATCTTGACCATACAGGGGTTTGAAGCGGTGACAGAAAGCCTCCACTGTGTATTTATTTTTAAAGGGCCTTGCAGGAGATTCACTTTTGAAGTGTTTTGCAAAAAGATTCACTAGCATGGACGAGGTAAAAAAATTATAGCCATTGCCCACATTGTCTTTTCTGTGAACACAGAGATCACAAAACTACTGTTTCTTCTGGGGCTAGATGTGGCTTATGCAGGCGGTTCAGGTGACCAGAAACTTTTTTTCAATTTCTGCCTCCAAAGACTCCACAAATTTCCTTCAGTGTGAGTTCTAAGCGACACATCTCACCATGCACTACTGTCTGTGTGTAAGGAAGCTGATGAGATTTTTTTGTACAAATAGATGAGCAGATTTGTTATAAGGCAGACAGAATGAGATAAGATCTGTAAAAATCACTAAATGTATTTTACATGTAGCTGGAGATGAGCAAATAGGAGGAAAAAACCCCTAGATCTTTCTAATGCTATTGCCAGTTTGACACCAGCCTGGCAACTCAAGGCAACTTGGCAGTAAAACAGATAGTTACAGCTCCTGTGGGCAATTCTGCCTTCACAGACAATAAATTGTCATAATCCCACATCACCAGTACATTCCCAATGTGACAGCATCAGGGAGTGAGGTGGAAAGTAGTATACAGATAATGGTGCAAAGCCAACACAGTTGACTGCTCTCCATCAGAACAGAGGCTAGCAGGGATAGTCAAGCCTTGTGCCAACAGCTCTGCAGAGGTAAAATACAATCAATAAACATACCTACTTATTTCTGATACTCAAACAGGTTTAATTAAAATGAGAATGGAGATGAACTCCAGGCCTTCATATTTCAGCTCTTTTTTGTATTAACAAAGCAGTGTGCCCCAGCTTTTCCTTGTATCAGAGATTGAAAAAGAAATGCATCACTACTTCATCCATCTGGAAGACGGCAGAAATAAAAATCTTGTGGCTAAGGCACGCTTTAACAGAGATTTTCAGTTAAATGTTGGACACCCAAGGTGTTTAGATAGCTTGGATCAGAGGCCAGCCTTTTGGATGCTTATTTGAACCAAACATGATCTCCAAAGCTTTTGAAGTTTGCCCATCATTGCTTCTAATCAAACTACTTTTCTTCATGAGCTCACAGATAAGAGACCAAATGAACACTCTGATTCTACACATCATTTTCCAAGGGGAAGGGGCTAGTATATGGGTATAAAGAGTGTTAAGTGTAGCAGGGACAGATTCACTTTCATCTGCAACCTTATATTTGATGCTCAAGAAAAGAAAATATCTTTTGAATATAGTACAACAAAAAGGGTGAGCAATTTTGTTTAAAGGGAATTTCTCTTATGATCTGCTTACTACATAGTTATTTTTTTCACCTTGCCCTGTGTTCTTTATGCCGGTATTTTTAATAATATTATTACACTCTGTTGTACACGGATCTCAGTCCGTTGTTTTCAAGGGACACTAGCACAATAGCCTAAGGACAGAAAATAAGCGTGCTGTCATGGGCAATGTACTCAACACAATGAGCTGGTTGGCGGATGGCAGCAGGCTCGCCTGTTTGTCACAAAGCAGTCTTGACTTTGGGAGCAAACCCAGGGATTTTGCTGTCACTTCTGGAGAGCAGGTGTAACCATGAAGTGCTCATTAGCACTGACAGTTTCAAAGGCAAGTTCTGATTTGTTGCTGCTCAACTTGAATTATTTTTGCCCAGATTTTTGCAGGGCTGACTACATCACCCTAAAAGAGGAGACACTTAGTTCCATTTGTCACTGAAAAAAATGGGTGTCATAGTTTTGGGAATAAGGATGGGAAACACATGCTTCCTTTACTGCAGACAGGTCTGAGCCACAAGAAGTAAGAGGTTGCCAACATCTAGGTTGACCTGAATCCATGTTTCTGATTTCACTGTAGTATCACTGTATGTAGGATCTACCTGTGGAGTTTTCACCTGAAATTTCCTATCTTTCTGCAACTTCTGGGTCCATCTTCATTCCCATCTTATTTCCGGTTTTCAAGTTTCATCAGTTAGGGTCACATAACAGATAGGTAAATCATTAGCATCATTAGACTACCTATCACCAACTGAGACTAGATCCTGATTTGGGAATATGAGGCCTTCTCCCATCCTATTCCTAAGGGAAAGTATTACAGGAGAGTGACTGACAGGATTGGCAGAAGCTGATGAGGAGGTAAGGAAAAAAGTGCTTTGCCTCCCGCACCTCCTTCTCATTTTGGGGCTACCTTTCAGGAAACCTAGTGTTCCCAAATGAACTGTAGGGCGTATTTCCCAATTAAGAAACTGGGGCAGCTTCTGGTGGATCAGAAAGCAAGCTGAATTAATAAATGTACAACACTTTCAGATGAGTTATACAAGTGGCTTGCAAACGCTTTACTCAGTCTGTGTTTATTTAGCATTTCAGCTTGGGTGTGTACATTGTCTGGCTTCCAGAGTATTATGGCCAAAATCCCAGTTGTGCATCTAAGGTAACTCCCAAAATAAGAGCCAACATGTCACATGCTAGAGGGGCAGCTGTTGATGACTGGGTTTTATCTGTTTAATAGTACCATAGATTTGCAGATAAACCTCACAATTAAAGGAATATAAAAGCAAGTTTCCAAAACCTCACCCTTTTATATTTCCCAGTATTTGACAACACAGCATCTTTCCCTGCTGATTTTTGTTTCTTTTCCCTTGGCAAACCCTAGTTTTCTCTCCATACGCCTCCCTGTCTAACAAAACACCAGCCGACATGACAATGGCCTTGTTTGTCAAAGGCATCATCAATTATGTTAGGGACGGTGTGCAGACAGTTCTGGCTCAGAGATGGCTGGTTTATTTGGATTCTCCCCTTGACAGCAGTGTAATAAAAATTTCATCATTGTACTTCAGAATTGGCTATCAGTCACAAAGTACCACAAAGCATCCTCTTGCCTTTTAGCCTCACTCCTATACTAAGTTTTTTTTTTTTGTCAGAAACTAGTGTAAAAAGGAGACAAGGAATAATGAAAAATGAATAATTCATACAGCAGTCTCCACTGAAGTCCTCAATAAATCTGTCTGCCCTCAGCACAGCTGTCTTTCCCATGTAATTAGACACAGATGTAAAGTATAATATTGGTTGCAACAATATGGTCCCAACTTACAGGAAAATAGCAAGTTCTCCAAGAAATTCACTGGACTTTGAGGTATCTTGCCCTAAACTCTGTCTAATAATACTGCATAAGATATAGCTATGAGCAGACGCTGGCTATTTGATCAAAAACAGGCAGAATGGAAAATAAAACAAAGCCTTTTGAATCTGAAATATATACATGTGCATCTTTGGAGCATATGACCAAATCAGGGCAATTTTTAAAGTATGTCAGATGTGGGGATTGACTCAGCCAATGATGTTTCTTAAATGAAGGAAATAAGATAGACAGCTCTGTGTGTGGTCAGGGATGATTAAGACAGACTTTGAACCAAGATGTGATCAGGCCTTTGTGATATTACAATTAAAAGTTCACTCCCCCTGCTCAGAAGCAAAAGGATGAGAAGCAGAGCTTTTCAGAGTGTGTGTGCCTGTGCATCTCAGCACATTTTAATTTTCAGCCCTTGTGCTTAGAGTAAAAAAAAATCGTTTTCCTGGACACCCTTTTTAATGGGTCTACATGCCAGCAATATTTTTTAAGCTAAGCAAAGAGTGAGTACAAAAGATGGTGCCATTTCAGAAGGATCCTTTAAGCCTCCAAATAAGCCACAGGAAAGAGCCAACGATACAGCAGCTTTTCTAACCATTGGCTAGGAAACAAATAGGCTTCTGAGTCAAAGCTCCCATACAAGTCTATATCCAAACTACTTAATCCTGTGTTGTCACCCCCAATAACAGGCAGGTGTGTGCCTTGCTCTAGGGCTCTTTTCATGCCTTCTGTTTTTTTTTTTAAATATAGATCTAAGCAGTGTCAAAACAAGGCTTTGCACACAACCTGGTGCTCATTCATCCCAGTTGCTAGGAACAGGAGAAGCAAAGGGATCACAGGCAGGCTACCTCTGCAGACAAAAAGGAACAGCAGATTCACAACTTACATGTCAAATTTTAACAGTTTTTGGGTTGTTTTGTGTTTTTTTTCCCTAAGGGAATATATTTGCAGTCTTACATTGGAGGGTCAGCCAAGGGTGGTTTGGATAGTGCCAGGGCATCCAATTGTTATACAACTTCTTTTTCCTAGCAGTGATTAAGAGAGAATGCTGTTCATTATTATGACTAATGCTTAAAGACTCTTTCTGGGCCTGGGCAGTGTCCTGTTAACTTTCTGGGAGCCTGAGGGGGATGTCACAGCTGAACCTAGACTTTGCTCTGGATGGCAGAGCACTCTTCAAGCGTGCTTTCTCAAAGGGATTAGCACAGCATTTCATTCAGCTTTTTCATCAGATTTCCTTTCCCAGCTCAGTATCTACTGTACACAAGGGTCAAGTTTTGATCTCCCATTGAGGGTTTTTTTTTTTTCCCCTCTGAGTTCAAAATGGGAAGCTGAGGACCAGGTTGCTCTCACCAAAATCATCCATTCAGTCTGCTATTTGCAGTTTATTACTACTTTTCAGCACTTGTCCAGTGGGTGGGTTTTTCATTTACTGATGTTAGTCTGGTACTGTATACGTAGCTTTCTCAAAGTGAGATGATGCCTTAGAATCGATACATTTATATCCTGATAAACATGATAATTCAGAAGTGGCAGCTCTTTGATGTATGATCAGCAGGCTGAAGTATGAGAGAAATGTACCTGGTGGTCTAATTGTCTAATTTCTTGCATATGATGATTCTTGCAGCTGATGATGGTCCTGGAGGTGAAATCTTCCCTCTATCAGACTTGAGTCTGTTCTAACCAAAGCTACTCTGCCTGTCTGCAGAGCTCTGGTTTTGCTGTCGCTGATAATAACCAAAGTAGTGAAACATTCCCTGAAAATTCTCTGCAGAGGTACAGCATAACATGAAGTACACACTTATACGCTGCCTGCAAACCACGTGGGGAAGTGTTGGGGATCAGTTCTTTCATCATACACAACACTACCCTTTTAAGGTAATTTGTCAAATGTCATTGTGGGAATTTGCCTCCTCAACCTTAAGTAAAAGAGAAAAGGCATAGACTAACCACCCCCCACCCCCCCAGGTTTCTCTTAACTCCGTAGTTATATCTGCAGTGTCCCTTCTATTTCCACACAGGTACAAGCATCATGCACACATCAGTCTGCTTGAAAAGCTCAGGCTCTCTAGAGTGAACTGCAATATCATTTCCTTTTATCTTGATATGGCAAGCATTCATGCATGCCTTTGCACGCCTGTGGAAGGTCCCAATGACTTGAATCGTGCAGATAGGGTCATGCTTACCTATTTGCAATAATGCTGACTCAAACCCATTTTAGATTAATCTCAACCAACAGAAACTCTAGCACAGGCTAGTGATCCAGAATACCTCTTAAGTCAAGAGAGATAGATATCCTCTAGAGGGCAATTCAGCTCATCTATCTCAGGCATCTACATTAGACTGCAATAAATCATTCCCTAGAGGTCCCAGTGTTTCTCCACTGACTGTACAGGAGCTTAGAAAAAACATATAACTTTCAGGTGGCTAAAGCAGGATGGCAGCTATCTAGGGCTGAGCGTGCAAGCCCGAGTGGAAACAATGGCATTTGGGGGCCTTCTGCTGGCAGCAGCATGCTCCCAGGTGAAAAGAACATTATTGTGCTTGACTGGCATGATAGGAATAAAAGCTCTTTCAACAAGGTAAATTTTGGAATGGTCTTTCGTTTGCTATGCAGAGTATTGGCAGGAGGTACTGAGAGGCCTGTAACCAGACCAGACAAAAGAGGTAGAGTCAAGGTCTGATTTCATCCAGACAGACTGTTCTAGAGTTTCCACACAGATAGGCTGTGTTTTCAAACAATGTTTTTTCCTCTTCACTGCTCTCCAGTGCTCCTTGACTTTAGCAGTTATCTAATATTACACGTGATGTTGGTTACTACACCATCACCCTACTGCTAAATACAAGAGTTCATACACAGATTCTTTCCGGTACTATGAGACTGAAAACTAATCTTCTGGCACAAACAATTTATTCTTATTACAATATTTCCCTGTAGCAAATCTGCCCAGAGCAGAAACGGGACTATAAAGGGGCCACCATAGAACACTATGAGATACAGGGTGAGTTAGAGAAGCTGACCCCCAGCCCTGTCTGCTGATCAGTGTTCTGTGATGAACGCTGTGAAATCGAAAAGAAGGGGTCCTGTGGAAGCAGTCTGTGCTGGCACTAAGATCCAGTGGAAAGAATACAAAAGAAGAGAAACATAGGATGTGTTGTGCACAGAAGGTTTAAGCAGCATCACAAGCCATACAGTCCTAGGGAGGGGAGTGTTTGTAACCTGAGTGTTTAAGAGGAATCTTGATGAAGACCATCAAAGGGTCAGGAGAGCCTCAAAAGCACACGATGCCAATGGGCGTGACTATAGATGACAGAGGATTAAGTTCTCTGTGCTGGCAACTGATGCCTGAGCTATGGGGAAGGAAAACTATCCAAAGGGAGAAATGAAATGATGTATATTGTTGGAAACAGCAACCTCCCAGATAGATGCCAGATGGAATCAGATGTGTAAAGTATCCTGCCAGCAGGATACTCAGGAAATGTTTACACTAAGTAAGGGAGATTTGGGCTAAGTTCCAGACTGGCTGGGTGCAAACTACCTTGATCCAGAGGTTGTACACCCACATTAATGCCTCTATGCCTGAGTTACTTCCTAACACATCCTGCTGAAGTGTTAATGAGGCAATTAATTTGGGCAGACCACCCCATAATACAGCTGTAGAATCCAGAGATAGGTCTGAGTAAGCGCTGATCTATTTGTTCCCAAGTGGATGTGCATGGTCTCATGCTTCCTACACCTCCTGCAGCCATTATATGTATTTGTGTGCACAGATGTTGCACAATCCAATGGAATTTAACAATAGCTTATACATAGGCACACACACTCTTGAAAGATGCAGAAAAAACACCTAAACAAAATATGCTTCAAGAAAAAAGGAACCATATTATTTTAAATGCAAGCACAAGAAGAATGTACCTTTCCCCAGAATACAATGCAGTTATCAAAAAAAAAAAAAAGTGTGATACCAGGGGGAGAAAGACACAGAAAATCAGGAAGATGACCTTTGATCAGAAAAGTGTTGTTTAGGAACAGAATACAAAGAAAGGATAGTAATAATCATGAGTTAACTTCTATAGGAGTTACTGATTTCTTTCTTTTAATGATTCTTCCACCATTCATTTGTCTTCACCGCATGTAACAACAGTCACTTACGTTTGCAGACCTCCGTAGAAGATATGGGTTTCCCTCTATCTCGGTAGTACCCTGGTTTGCATCTTTGACACCGATGTCCCTCTGTGTTATGCTTGCAGTTGTCGCAGACTCCACCACTGCGCTTTCCTGATGCCAGCCAAACACTCAAATCAAAATGGCAGCTATCAGCATGGTTGTGACAGCGACACTCTGGTGGGAAACAGGAGAATGTATTTCAGGCTTATATGATAGACACAGCAATAGTATTCAAATGGTATAATTTTCCTACTGTGAATCATGGAGGAAATATCTGAATGTAACACATTTCATCTACCTGAAATCCTTGATTTTCATAAAAACTAGGAACTGCAACACAAAGTGAGGGTTGTAGCAGGGTCTGAGAAGATTGGGTTGTTGTGAGCTGTGTGGTATTCTTACAGCAAGACAAGCCAATCTGATGGTATCATAAGCCCTGCACAAAATCCTGGAACACTAAAACATGTGAGGGGACGTAGCTGCATGAAGGACAGATTTCTGCCTTGTAAATTCCACTTCCAATAGCCCAGATGGGTCAGCTGTAGTAAAACAACATGCATACTGAAATTTTCTATCAATGACCAACAGCTTATCCCCAGTTTCTGTAATGGCAGCATTAGTGTAAATCAACAGAAGTTTTTGTTAGGGAACTTTGCCTGCTGGCATAGTGAGCGCTCATCCTGAAATCCTGGATCAGGAAACTCCTTCCCACTTACTTCTGCATTCATTTGGCACCCCTGTTTTTCCATCTCCTGGCTTCCAAGGCTGATCATTGTATAGTGGTGCACATTTCTCACAGTGGTCCCCTGCTGTGTTGTGTTTACACACACACTTCCCATGGACCTGTCAGGGGAAAGAGAACACATTCAAATAGCTACAAGCAAGACCATGGTAGAGTGCCTAACAGCTTCACGAGGAGGTGGGACTTCTGCACAATTCCCACACAGCTGCCTGGCTCTCGTAGGAAACGCACAGAGCCTGGAGCTTAGATGTGTGCCTTTATGCCTTCACACAGTCACTAATGATATAGATTTTTCCTCTATCTTTTAGTTTAAATGCGTGCGGCAACAATTTCTTTTTAACTCTCGAGCTGGCTATTTTAATACTACATTGATGAACAGCCTCTAGACTATTTAAACTGGGTGAGCTAACACAGCTTATTTTGATTTACAAGTTCAGGGCAAGAGCATGCAAAGAGCCTGAGCAGGTAGTCACCTCCAGGCAGTGTCAAATACACTTTTGGCTAGCAGAGCTGAGTCACAGGAGAGCACAACCTAACAGTGGATGCTGGACCTTGGCTTATTTGACATTAGCAGTGGTCAGGAAGAGAGAGTAAATATAGGGCAATGAAATCACCCTGAATTACTAAATTATAAATTGTTAGAAGAATGAGCAAGTAATCCTGGACCTCCTAGCACAGTTAAAAATGTAGCAAAAATATTAAACCTAGAAAAATACCAACCAGTATATCCACAGAAAAATCAATCTGAACTACATACTCTGTGAGAGGAAAGCACTGATGTTTGAAGAGACTTGGGTTCAGTAGGCACCAACCTACCAACTTACATATGAATATGCAAGGAATCAGTTAGCAAAAAAGGCCCAGTAAAATTTTGGGCTGTGTAACTAAGTGCACTGTTATTCCAAGAGGATAGGAAATTGTATCTGCAATACTGTTCAGTTTTGAACAATTTTGAATCTGCAATTCAGTTTTGAACATCTTATTACCAGATAAATGAGAAATTGGAAGATGTTCAAGACATTCAACAAAAATGAGTAAAAGCTGGCATGGCTGAGGAATGGGGCTGATCTACAAGAACTAAGCATATACACCCACCTAAGCTAGGAAACCACAATTTACAAAATATTTGAGGGGGGAGCAAAGAAAGAAGTGCAAAAAGCCTTGACTAAAACTGGCTGAACAGTAAAGTTCTCTCTGTGACTATTTGCTTGAAAAATACTTGAAAAAAGAACTTGCTTCCTCTGTACTTATCTGCCTTCATTGGAACAAAATAATGAACCTTAATCATGGAAATGTTCTAATATATGCCAGTTTTGGAATCAGGTATTCACACCAGAAACCCAACCTTGGAAACTGAGCTAGTCCAGACTTCAAACAGAAAGTTATTATTGAAACTGATTCTGTTCTCAAGTCACTTCACAAACCAGGAATGTAAGAGCCAGTTCCATTATAGACTGTAATTTGGTGCACAACATTCTGTAATATCGAGCTACAATCCAAGAAGTGCTTTACAAGAGGGTTTTTTGTTGTGTTTGGTTTTTAATTAAGAAGGAGGATTCCAATATCTGTTTGCAATGCCTCAGAGAAAGGATGCCCCTGAGAAATTCTTTGAAGAAATATCCAGCATAGGGAGTAGGAGAAAGGGAAAGGAGGGACCACAGGTCATGTTCTACACCCATCACAAGAGAAGCTGCTCATTAGTGGTATCTCACATGCAAGACGACACTTGCACTAGAGCAGGAAACACGCAGAAGTCAGGGACTAGAGCCCTCTCCCTCTGTGCACTGTCGAGGATGCTAAGCTCTGTAACCTCACTGTCACAGCTCTGGCCCACGGCACGTTACACAAAAAGCAGAGGCTGAGATTTCACTTTGCCTGGGGTGTGGGTTGAATCTAGTCCTTTAATCTCACCACTAATGTGAGTTATGTTTCTCCATAGTCTTTCCTGAAAATCAGGCTCTCCCTTTGCCGTCCCCCCTCCCCCATCACATGTAGCAGGTAGCTTGGGATCAAGAGAGAAATGTTAAAACGAGCAGTTCCCTGAATGTGCTCCCCTGCCCCCAAACCCATCACCCTGCAGCAGTTTGCTCTCCGCTCGCCTGGTTTCTAATCCTCCCAGACCAGATACTCGTGTCGCTAGCAAAGGGGATAGGCTGCAGCTGATGCCATCGCCCCTCCATGGCCAGCTGGCAGATTCGCTGCTGCACAGAGCGGTTGGCTGCCTCCTCACGGAAGACTGAGCACAGACTTCAGGGTATGCATTTCTGTCAGAGCTCAGCACCAGCAAACCTCAGGAGGATACAGCATGTAGCACATTATGTGATGCCTCTCCAGATCTTTGTACAAGAAAGTCGTCCATGTTCAAAGCGCTAAACAGGATGACAAATTACAAAGGCAACAGTGCTAATAAGTAACAGTGTTGGGCTTCTCCCTATTTGAGTTTGGCTCTTCAGGTTTATAAGTTCCCCCCTGTGGGCACAGTGACTGCTTTGCAGAAGCCATAGAACAGAGGAAAGGACCAGGAATGAGGAAACATAACATAAGCCTGCCCCAGAACCATAGATTTTAACGTCCCCAAACTTCAGAGTGAAGTTTACAGCTGAACTTTACTGCTCATTCCAAAATGGACCAGAACCAAAGCCTTGGATCCAGTCACTTTGGAAAATCCTGGTGTATTTCAATGCAAAATTTGTAAGTTGGCCCATTAGGTTTTTTAATGATATATGCACAAACTGTGCTTTCACTATATGAAAAAATTACATGAAAGAAATGCTGAGATTGTACAGTTGGGAAATGGCAGGATTAAACCATGCAATTTTCTTTTAGCCTTGAATTACATGATCAAATATTCATTATTCCACAGGACCCTATGCTTACAGTGCACAGCACAGATGGTGTGAACACTCATGAACAATTATTCAGAAAGTAAACAGGAAAATTAAGTGAGAAAGGAAGAGTCCGGTTGTTCTTTGGAGGTAAGTAGATGTGTTAGTTTGCTCATTGACCCCAGTTTGTTGCAAACTGTACTTTGTGGAGGCTATCTAGGAATGACATGTTGAGTAGGACAGAGGCATAAAGGAAGCTTCCTGCCTGTGATCCCTGCTATTGAACAGTTTACCAAATATATGTGGAAGGATGACTAGCTTAGACAAAAGGGTTGAAAAGCCAAGCAGCCAGGAGAGCCACTGAGCAGGCAGAAGGAAACAGTGGACCTGGCATGGAACTTTATTTAGAAAGTATTAGGTCTGAGGACTAATTTTTTTTTTTTTATATAGGTTTAAGAACAAGGAAAAGAGAATTGATGGGTATTGGGGCAAAGATAATGGAAGAGAAAGCAAGTCTGCCATGTGTTATCTGTGGATGGGTATCTCATTGAAAATTTTTTCCATGGAGAGTAGTCTCATAGACAGCATTCATAAGTGAAAACAGCTAAGGAGAAGGGTGCAACATAAAGTAGCAATGTAATACAGAAAGGAGTTGGATAGAAGAGAGTAGAGACAAACAGCTCAAGTAGAACACACACAAGAAAGGTGATACATGGATGTAAGCGGCCATTGCAGAAAGACTGGTTAATGCAGGAGAAACTGAGCTGTCGAAGAGACCTGTTACACTTAAACATGAGGGTAGATGAGGTGGCTTGCAAGTAGCGACAAACAATTTGTTCTGTTAGAGAGGAAGAGATCGGAGAGGCAGCCAGAGACCAAACTTCAGGAAGGAACAAGAATGAAATACAAGAAGGTGTCAGATAAAATAGGAAATAGGATATCTGCTTAGGGAAGGAAGAATGTCAGACTCGCTCTCAACACCAGCACAAAGACAGCAGGCATGTCCCTGACTTCTTATTCACTACTGAAGTCCACACCTCTCTCACAAAAGTGGTTCCCAAAAAACTAAAAGATTGTGCTCTCTACTAAATGCAAGACCTCAGGATGTACTGGATCTCACTAGAACACAAAGATGACCATGCCAAGGTAGAGAAAATAGTCAGAGAAGTACAGGTTCAGGGGAACTACACTGATATTTTAGTATGCCCTAGAAAGCCGGGTCAGAGTTGCAAGGAGATATGATGATTAAGAGGATTGTCAGCAGCAAGGACCAGTTGCTCTTCAAAAATTGAGGAGCTATAAGCTGAGGGTTACCACAGCACAGGCTGTGCCCTTACTGAGGGGGCACCATCCTGAGCACAGTGGGCAGAGCAGGGAGCTGGTACCACAGCCTGTTGACAGCCTCAGACACAGCAAGGGGGTGGACCAGGGGCAATGCAGGAGCAGCAAGAGACAGGCTCAGAAACAAGCTCACAACATGGGTTCAAAGTCCATCCAGGAGGCAGAATGAGAGACAAGCTACGACACATAGCGGGGGGTCATCCACCAGGAGGGAAGCTACCTACAGCATAGGCCCAAGGTCCATCCAGGAGGCAGGGCCAGAGGCAGGGGTACAGACAGGCACATCTACAGCAGTGCTCAAACAGGAGCTGACAGCCCAGGGCTGAGCTTAAATGGAGCCCCAGGCCAATGGACAGAGAGTATGGGTGGGAGTCTCAGGTGGGGCTGATCAGGGCTGTTAAAGCCCTTTTACTGCCTTCAGAACTCTGAAAATAATACTTTGATTGCCACTGGATTAACGTCATTGGCATCTTTAGGATATCTGACTACTGGGAGGCATCTGCTGAAAAAAATACTTCATCCATCTAGATTTGGAGCTGGCAATCCAGGTGGAGGGAGCTTGAAAGCAAGGTGTGAGGAACAGAGGCTTACATGAGATTCATGCCATCAGTTAGGAATGACTTTAGCCAGTTTTCAGCTAAAGCCCTGTGGTGGGTTGACCCTGGCTGGACACCAGATACCCACCAAAGCCGCTCTATCATTCACCTCCTCAGCTGGACAGGGGAGAGAAAATATATCAAAAGGCTCATGGGTCGAGATAAGGACAGGGAGAGATCGTTCACCAATTACTGTCATGGGCAAACCATGGGGAACCTGGGGGGACTTGACATGGGGAAAATTAATTTAAATTATTACCAGTCAAGTCAGAGTAAGATAACGAGAAATAAAAGCTAAATCTTAAAACACCTTCCCCTGACCCCTGCCTTCATCCCAGG